AGAGAGTGAAGCTCGTAGTCGCGCTTAGCGGCTATGTGCAGCAGCACCCAAAGAGTGGTCATCTTTGGGGTGGGAGAGAAGGTCTGAAATTAGTCAGCTCCCTGCCGCTGACTGAAGCCTCGAGCCACGTAACGCGCCTTGAAGACAGGCGGAGAACCCGGCGGCCGCTTCACCCTAAAAATCCACATGCCACTGACGATGTTCGCCCTTGGTGGGGGAACCTCGTCGACGTAGGTGCCTGTGGACTTCCAGGAAGCCATCTCTGCGTCCATGGCTAACTGCCACTGAGAGGAGTAGGGACCCTCGATCGCCTCAGCGTACGATCGAGGAGTCGGGATGTCTGGTGCATCCGGGTCTCCCTCAGGGGCAGTCAGCATGGACACGAGATGAGGCAAAGCAGCAGCACAACACTGGAACTCCTCCTGCCTGTCCTCAAGGACGTCCGTGCTAAGAGCACACCCACCCCCGACGGACGGAGAACAGACAGACTCGGCCTCAGCAACAAGACTAGTGGCGTAGTCTAGACGACAGCGAGCAGCGAAGTCGACAATCTCACCAACTAAGGCAAACGCAGGAGTGGACTCAAAGGAAGGGTTAGTGACAATAGTGGCCACGAGACGCGTGACAGTAGGACTGGCAGCACGAAGAGAGTCAGACTCAGGGTCAGGAAGGACAGGAAGAGATGACTCTAGAGGAGACGGCAACGGGACACGCAAAGGAGCACTGGAAGGACGCAGTGCCATCTGGTGTGTGTCTGGGACCGCAGGAGGACACGGACGCGGAGCACGCCGACTAGTACGAGCAGCACGAACAGGCGACGTAGGACGAGACGCAGGCTCACGACGCTCTGCAAGACCTCCAGTAGGACCAGTGTAGGGAGAAGGAGCAGGAAGAGGGGAGGCGGGATGTAACTGTGAGTGCGACTGGACGGGCAGTGGCCACTCTAAGGGAGGAGCAAGACTAGTAGAGGGCGGGAGACCAAGAACCTCCTCAAGGAGCGGAACGAAGTACACCCTCGGCGGCGCAGCGCCTTCAGAACCAGCATGGACTGCACCAGTACGCCCACCAGCAGCTCCAGCGCCAGCAGCACCTCCAGCTCCAACAGCACTAGCTCCAGCACCCTCAGACGCACCAGCGCCAACACCCCCAGTAGCTCCAGCTCCAACAGCACCAACTCCAGCAGGACCGGCAGCTCCATCACCGCCAGCAGCTCCAGCAGGACCAACTCCAGCAGCCCCTGCAACACCCCCAGTCCCTTCAGCTCCAGTACCGCCAGTACGAGCACCTCCGGAACCAGCAACAACAGTAGTGCCTCCAACTCCAAGAGCATGGCTCCAGCGCCGGGTAAACCACTCGCGCAGCTCCTGCGGAGAGAGTGGCTCTCGCCTCGACGAAGCACCGCCGGCGGCCACACGAGCAGACCAAGCGCCCCCAGGCTCCGCACACCCACGCTCCGCACCCCCTGACTCAGCACCCCCAAGCTCAGCACCTCTAGACTCAGCACCCCCAGGCTCAGCACCCCCAGTCTCAGCACCCCCAGGCTCAGCACCCCCAGACTCAGCACCCGCAGGCTCAGCACCTCTAGACCCGGCACCCGTAGGCTCAGCACCTCTAGCAGCACCAGAGTCAACAGCTACCTCAACATGCTCGATTGCGTCTACCTGGGACACACCTGACGGGGCAGGACCCTGAGGGGGGAGGGGGTCTACCGAGGGAGGACCTGGCACAAGGAAGAGCAGCGGCGGGGGAAGGGGCGCAGCGCGGTAGGGGAAGAGACAGTAGTAAGGCACAGACTCGTCAAAGGTTACGTCCTGGGAGGACAGATTACGGCGCGAGGTGGGGTGGTAAAACTGCCAACCAGGCCTGTCAGGGGGGAAGCCAAGGAAGACGCAGGGAACAGCACGGGGAGACTGCTTGTCCGCAGACAAGTCGAGAACAAACGCCCGAGATCCCAAAACCCGAAACGCAGATGCATCGCCAACCTTCCCCGTCCACCGCAAGGTGGGGGAGGTCTCTGGCAAGGAGACCCGGGGCTGAAGGTTGAGCTGATGCGCGGCGTACTGAACCGCAAACGGCCACAGAAAATGGGGGGCAACCGCTTGGATCATGGACGTACGAGCGACGTCCATGACCATACCAATGCGGCGCTCAGCAATCCCATTTTGTTGTGGAGAGGCCGGAAGCATGAACGTCTGGCGGATGCCCTGTGCACGACAGAAGGCTCCCAGACGGGCAGAGGAAAACTCCCCGCCTCTGTCAGAGTGCAGACGCAGAACAAGAAAGTCCGAGCCGAAACTTTCTCTGAGCTGGAGACCAGCTGCGCGGATCCAGTCGATCAACACCTCAGTGACGTCACCCTTGCTGCGCAAGGGGAACACTGTGGTGTAACGCGAGTAGTCGTCAACCACCAACAGGAAGTAATGCTCGTGACCCTGGCCACAAACGCGGGCGAGGCCCCACACGTCCATGTGAAGAGGCTGCAGCGGAGCCTCTATCGGAGGAAACTTGGAGGAGTGAGGGGCGGCGCGCTGTCGCCCCTCGACGCAAGCGACGCAGGTAGGGGCAGGCCCCGGAGGTAGGGGAGGTAGGGACCGGGGGAGTCCAGAGACAAGGATACGTAAGGCCATGCCTCGAAGACGAGGCAGGGAGGGGTGACCGAGGCGGTGGTGCCAAAGGAGAGTCTGGTGGGACAGGAGACGACACGAGCAGGGCGCAGACTCAGGACCAGACCTGGACGCTGCAGCAAACACCTGACTCGACGCAACTACCTGACCAGACTCAGCAATCGGAGGAGACTCAGTATTCAGTGTGTACAGGCTCGACCCCGACCAACAAGTAAACGTGGCCAAGTGTTGGCCCGTCCGAGCACACGTGCAGTGGGTCACCCGCTGACTCGGACGAGTGAACTAGTCAACCCCCCTATCCTTTAGATCAGCTCCACTCACCAAGTTCGTAGAGAACGAGGGGAGGTAGAGACCTGACGGGTGCCAGAGGGGGCTGCCGGGCACGGTAAGACAGTGGAGAAGCTAGCAAGGACAGGACCCCCAAAGGGGTCCGCCAGGGAGACCGCAACCGGCCGACTAAGCGGCGTAAGCGTGGTGCGGTCTCGAAAGAAGGAGCGGAAAGCACCCGAGTCAAGGGTGAAGGTGTGTAAGGCCTGAGCCGACGTGGTACCTGAGAGAGCAGACTCACCAGCACCTGGGGCAGCACACGCACTAGCACCTAGAGCAGCAGCCTCACCAGCACCTAAAGCAGCAGCCTCAATGCTCGGGTCAGGCGGAACACACAGGTAACAGTCACCCTCATCACTAGTAGACACAGCATACATGGCAGCAAGAATAGCATCATAATCAAGATCAAAGATAGCAGCCCCCGCCCTAGACAGCTCTCTTCAGCGAGGGATCTCAGTGGCGTCAGGGAACTAATGACGCCACGCGTTCGTCAGGCGGCAGAAGCAGCGCTGGGTGGAGTGCGGGCCCCCGCACTGCTCACCAGCGCGGTCGCTGGTACGGAGAACGTAGGTGCAGGGACCAATACCCCCAACGCGCTGACGCGCAGTGTACCACTCACGAAGGTGCTGAGGGGACAAGGTCTCGCGGCTGCGCTGCTGCTGCTGGCGTAAACCACCACCGGAGGCACTCCTCTGCGCAGAGCCGCGACCAGGTCCATTGCTGCAGCCGCCGCCTCCGCCACCTCCGCCACCTCCGCCGCCTCCACCGCCTCCACCGCCTCCACCGCCTCTGCTCCCTCCGCCACCGTCGCCGCCTCCTCCGCCTATACTGCTGCCACCGACACCTCCACCCCCGCCACCACTACCACCTCCACCCCCACCCCCTCCAGTGCCTCCACCACCACCTCCACCACTCCCGCTAGCCCCTCCAGCGCCCTTGTCCCCCTTGCCCTTGCCGGTGCGGCGTCTCCCGCTCGGGGCACATGCAGCGCCGACCGACTCGAAACCAACAAGGTCGGCCGCAGCAGCAAAAGCAACAGAGGGCAAGAGGGGGGAGGGGGAACACCCCTCAAAGACGGGGGTGCGAGGGTCACCACGAGAGGCTCCTACAGCAACTTTGCTCTTCTCTGCTGCTAGGAGGCGCTCCTCGAGGAGGTCGACGGTGAGTGTGGTGGGGCAAACTGAGAGGAAGTGGTCCCTGACTAAGCGAAGGGAGTCAGGGAGCCGGGTGACTATGTAGTAGAGGGTGATGTACATGGGGGGGGGGGTTCTTGGGCATAGAACTCAGCAGGAAGCGCAGCGCGGTAGCGAGTGTCACTAGTGGGAAGGTGAGTGATAAGGTCAACGACTATGGGAAAAGCAGCAAGGTCAGGGAATAGGTACGGCAGCATGAGGCGGCTAAGAGCAGCAGTGGCAGGGGAGGAGTAGCGTGCAACTACAGCGTCGTACAAGGTCTTTGCACTCTTATACTGGCTAAAGTGCGCACGCACAGCATCGCGTGTGGCCCACTGTGAGCGAACAGTTCTGTCAGCAGTAGCAGGCGTGGCAGGAGAGACACCAGAGGTGAGATCGAACAGAGAGAGTCCGTGTGCCCTATCGCACTGGAGAAACAGCTGGAGGTCATCGACCTAGACCTCAAATTCAACGGCACGGCCCTCAGCATCAAAAGTAAGGACACTGGGGGTAGCTATGACTGCAGCGGCCTATTAGGGAGTGAGCTCACAAGTAGGAATAGCAGCGGCTCGACAGCAGGGCGGCTCGGTGGCTGGGCGGCTCGGCTGCTGGGCGGCTCGTCTGCTGGGCGGCTCGTCTGCTGGGCGGCTCAGCGGCTCGGCTGCTCGGCGGCTCGGCTGCTCGGCGGCTCGGCTGCTGGGCTGCTCCGCTGCTCGGCAGGTGGGCGGCTCGGCTGGTAGGCGGCTCGGCTGCTGGGCGGCTCGGCTGCTCGGCAGGTGGGCAGCTCGGCTGCTGGGCAGCTCGGCTGCTGGGCGGCGCGGCTGCTGGGCAGCTCGGCTGCTGGGCGGCGCGGCTGCTGGGCAGCTTGGATGCTGGGCTACTCGGCGGCTCGGTCGCTGGGCGGCTTAGCGGTGACAGGGCCGGTAGAGGCGGTGACGTGGCCGCTAGGGGAGGGCGACAGGGCCGCAGGTGGCGGCGAGGCCGCAGGTGGCGGCTGCGTGGCCGGAGTTGGCGGCGACGGGGCCGCAGGTGGCGGTGATGGGGCCGCAGGTGGCGGCGGGGTGGCCGTAGGTGACGGCGACGAGGCCGCAGGTGACGGCGACGGGGCCGCAGGTGACGGTGACGGGGCCTCAGAGGGGCCGCAGAGGGGCCGCAAGGGGCCTAGACGGGGCCGTAGAGGGGCCGCACGGGGCCTAGACGGGGTCGCAGAGGGGGCCGCAAGGGGCCTAGACGGGGCGGCGACGGGGCCGTAAGGGGCCAAGACAGGGCGGCGACGGGGCCGTAAGGGGCCTAGACGGGGTGGCGACGAGGCCGTAAGGGGCCGTAAGGGCGCCGCGAGGGGGGGCCGACAGGCGTCGCGAGGGGCCGTAAGGGGCCGTAAGGGCGGCGCGAGGGGCCGTAGCGGGCGGCGCGAAGGTAGGGAGAGCACACAGAGCGCGACTCGGGCAGGAGCGAAGCGCGCTCCAAGCAGGAAAAAAAAAAATATCGTGGTGGGCCCTAGGAATCGTTCCCACTAGGGAACCTGCTCGATACCATGATAAGAAACGAGGAATGAGTGCATTGAGCAGAATGAGGAGTACAAGTAGTAAACCCTAAAGTGTTGTACCCCATATGAACTGCCCCACTACATCCTACACAGACTATAGCATATATGCCTGACAGGAACCGTCCTAAGCCACGGTACAACTGAGTGAGAAATGTGCAGCCTGACATCGTCCTGAGCCGAGAGAGTGAAGGGAATAGAAATTATTTGGATTTGACAGATTTTCAGGAAAAAAAAAAAGATCAAGGACTGGGTATCAGGCGCAGTGCGCTAGTATTCTCCGTCACGTCACCCATATATGGACCAAAAACTTACATAGATAGGGACTCATCATGTCCCAAACAATGTCCCCAGTGTGTATTTGCGGAAAGTAGATCTGTGAGGATGATCAAAGCCTGAGGTTAGCATGGTAAAGTTTTGAGTTATGTGGATTTGAAATAGGTTGTAGGTGACGGTGTGCAAAACTTATTTCAGTTGAGTGGCTCTAGCGAGAACTACTTTTCTCCGCGAGCAATTGAGCATTTCGTGCATACCAAACCCGCAAGCCTCACCAAAAGAAAGCGATAAGTGGGTTACATGAAGAGAAGAAGACATCCAATCAGAAGGTTTCGCACAACTGACCACTCGTATGACGCACGAGGAAAGTGTGGCTGCACTAGAAGTCTCTGCAAAACTGATTCAACTCGACTGTGCTCATGAGAAATATAAAAACATTGCTACGCACATCCTAATAACGCCGCCTACTCAGACTGATATCGGTAAAAAAGGCTGACACCGATTGAGTAGGCCTTTATAGTTGCCGTCACTCATTGTACTTGAAACGGATTTGAGTTAAGGTGTAAGTCGGAAGTAAATCGCTTCCCCAATGAGCTGCGCAGATTATGTCGCACGGGAATAAGCCACTGTGCGATAGTGCATCGTGCGACTCGCTGATCCAGTTAGAGAGTCCGTTATCCACTCACTTCGATTTCTTACTGCGAAGCAGCATACCACCTGAGCGGACGAGCAGCGAGAAGGTTGAATGAGGGCGGCAGGCCGACACGGGGACTGCGAAAGGCGGAGAGGGAGGGAAGAGGCGGAGAGGGAGGGGAGAGGCGGAGGGGGAGGGAAGAGGCGGAGAGGGAGGGGAGAGGCGGAGAGGGAGGGGAGAGGCGGAGAGGGAGGGGAGAGGTGGAGAGGGAGGGAAGAGGCGGATAGGGAGGGGAGAGGCGGAGAGGGAGGGGAGAGGCGGAGAGAGAAGGGAGAGGCGTAGAAGGGGATGAGGCGCGGAAGGGGATGAGGCGCGGAAGGGGACGATGAGGAAGGGGATGAGGCACGGATTTCCCTGATTCCCCTCCTTTCCTCCCCTTGCTTCCCCTCCTTTCTCCCCCCTTGCTTCCCCTCCTTTTCCCCCTTGCTTCCCCTCCTTTCCCCCCTTGCTTCCCCTCCGTTCCCCCCCTGCTTCCCCTCCGTTCCCCTCCTGCTTCCCCTCCTTCCCCCCCCTGCTTCCCCTCCTTTTCCCCCTTGCGTCCCCTCCTTTCCCCCCTTGCATCCCCTCATTACCCCCCCTGCTTCCCCTCCTTTCTCTCCTTGCTTACCCTCCTTATCCCCCTTGCTTCTCCTTCTTTCCCCCCTTGCTTCTCCTCCTCTCCCCCTCTGATTTTCCTCCTTTCCCCCCTTGTTCACCCCTCTTCCCCCCCCTGCTTCCCCTCCTTTCCCTCCATGCTTCCCCTCCTTTTCCCCCTTGCGTCCCCTCCTTTTCCCCCTTGCGTCCCCTCCTTCCCCTATCCTCCCTCTTCTTATGGTACTTCCTTCTTTCCCTCTCCCTCCTGCTTCCCTCTTCCCCCTCTTCCCTATCTCCCCTGCTTGACTTTTTCTTGTTCCCCCTCCCCATTCCTCATATTCCCTCCCTCTCCCCGGCTATTGCAGTGACTACACTGAAGATTTTTCTGGTAATGCAACTTGCCTCAGCCCATCATCCCATGCCATGTTCGTAGAGAAACCAGTTCCCCTAATGTCTGTTTCAAGGCCTTGAGAATCGTACAATCAAAAGTATTAAGAACATGCCTCTATGTACCCTTTTAACACTCATAGTGTCCATTCATCTTGGAAGAATATCTTGCACTGCAGAAACAAAAGTACATTTTGTGCCTTTGAGATGGATATCTCCAACAGTATTACAGTATCATGCTTGCATATAACAGGCAAGAAACATGTGGTGGTATGGTGTAAAGCATCGACTAGCTGCGCCTCAGCTTGCTCCTCTGCTTCACCACTTGTGTTGGGCTGAGATAGCCCCTTAGGATCTTTGCAAGGGATAACTCTAGGTGAAGTAGTTGTAATAGCGGAAGCGTTTAGTGAAGAATTTGAACCGACCTTGCACTGGTGTGTGAGAGCAAAGTTGATTGAATTAAACAAGCAAATACAAGGATTTATATAAGAGTACAGGGAATAGATAGATAACTGTATTGCTGTTGCGGTTCGATATAGCGCGACTCGGGCAACTGCTCTGTAACGAGTCAGTTGTGTGTCCTTAACTGTCGCGCTGTAATTGTCGAGTCAAAGGTCAGCGACCTTTGACTTTCTCGTAATCTCCAGGCGGTTACCCTAACCTCCGAGGTTGACTCGATGCTTCGATTGGGACTGCTTCGCTTGGTACCTTGGATTTTGATACGACAGAAGCGCACTTAGGACTTATTGTTTCCAACACTCCCCTTCGCTTCTGGAGTGCTACTGCTGGTGACGTGGCCTTGTCCAGTCAGCATCATGCAGTATTCGAACTTCTGCTTGCCGAGTTTCTTGGTCAAGTAATCGGCTGCCATCTCGGATGTTGGACAGTATGACAGATCGAGTTTCCCTTTTCCTATCTCGTCCTTCACGAAGAAATAGCGCAGGGCGATGTGTTTCGTCCTGTTTGCGAAGCCGTTTTTGTTGGCGATGCGAATTGCTGACTGGTTGTCGCAGAACACGGTGAAGCTGGGTAACTCGGCTAGCTTCGCTTCTTCCAGTAGTTCGCGAAGGTAAAGTCCCTCCTTGGTGGCTGAGCAGAGTGCAATATATTCTGCTTCTGCTGAAGATAGTGCGATTAACTCCTGCTTGCTCGACTGCCAGGAGATAGGACCGATAGGCTCAAGGCGGTAGACATAGCCGGTGCGTGAGCGCCTGTTGTCGGTGTCGCCGGCGTGATCGGCGTCGACGTAGCCGATTAGCTTAGTCGGTGTAGCTGCGCTCTTGTGGTAGGTTAGCCCGATCGTCGCGGTGCTGACGAAGTAGTGGAGAGCGCGATCAAGTTCCGCCAGGTGTTCAGCTTCAGGCTTCTTGAGATAGGTGGCGAGCTGACTTGCGGAGTAGGATAAGTCAGGACGGCAGGTGACGGCGGCGAATAGCAGGCATCCGAGCTTCTTCTGATAGTCGCGTATGCCGGCGGGCTTGAGTAGAGTAGTTCGTTCCTTCTCGGTTCCTGATGTGTAGCGGTAGGGCGTGGAGATGACGCTTGGTGTGAGGCTGAAGCGTTTCGCGATGGTGTCGGCGTATTTCTCGGCGCTTAGATAGATGGCGTTTTCTTCTTCGCGGATGTTGAGCCCGAGGTACTGTGTAACGGTGGAGGAGACCGTGAGCGTGAGGTCTTTCTGGAGCTCTCCTTCGAACCACGTGGCGATGCCGTCGGTTGACCCAATGTAGAGGAGATCGTCCACGTAGACGATCAGGAGAACGTAGTCGCTTCCCTTAGTGAGGCGGTACATGCCTTGGTCGTGAGGTAGTTGACTAAAGCCGATGCGGATGAGACGGGCGTGCAGGTACTGCTGCCACAGTCGCGGTGCCTGCTTGATCCCGTAGAGCGACTTAAGTAGTTGACAGATTCGGTTGGGTTCGCCGTGGGAACCGTGCGGGAGCTCGACGTAGATTTCTGCATCCACAGGTGCGTAGAGGAAGGCATTCGCGACGTCGATCTGCCGTAACTTCTTCTTCTTCATGGCGGCAATGGCGAGGAGAATTCGGAGTGACGTGTGGCGGCTGACTGGAGCAAAGGTCTCGGTGAAGTCTCGTCCTTGCTCTTGGTCGAATCCACGTACGACCCAGCGTGCTTTGAATTTTTCGATCGTGCCGTCTGCTTTCGTCTTGATGCGGAAGACCCATTTCCCGGTAAGGATGGTTTTGTTCCGTGCCACGCTTACGGGAACAACCTTCCAAGTGTTGCGTTCCTCTAATGCCTTCAGTTCTCTATCCATGGCTTCACGCCATTTCTCCCTGTGTTCCCCCCCCAGAGCCTGCTGAACCGTTGCAGGCTCCTTAGGAAGCGAGCTGCGTGTGTTCCCGTGGACTGCGGTGACGAGGCCGAGGATTTGCAGCCCAGTCTGTGAGTATCGAGGGAGTTCTGGATCCTCGGGATAAGCTGCTTCGTCTCCCGTTTCTGGGTCGGGCATGAAATTTGGCCCTACCCTTTCTACTTCGTTGGTGTTGACTGTCACAGGTGTTACGTAACCATCGTCGGCGAAACGGTAGAAGATTTCGGCGTTGTTACTGTCGCGAGGATTATCCTCATCCATGGGCACGTCGACGGAGCAGTATGGGAGAGGTCCGGCTTCTTCTGAGGCGTTGTCGACGTTCTGTTCATCCCAGTCTGCTTCGTCCGCTGCTGACGCGAAGGCTCGGTCACCACGAAAACCACTGGTGAGGTCCCGATTCTCGTGCAAGTTGGCGAGGTACGTCTGAAGGGTGAGTCTTTCGTAGAAGATCACGTCACGTGCTGCTACTGTTTCCTTTGTGTGGACGTCGAAGATTTTCCATGCGTTGTAATTTTTCTCGATGCCGAGGTGTAGTCCCCACTGTGCCCGTTGCGAAAATCTTCCCGCTCGTGCTTCTGGGGGTCTGTACTGTACCATGCACCCGAAAACTCGTAACATTTTCGTGCTGCCCTGCTTCCCTGTCCACAGCAGATGCGGTGATGCGTTGTTCGGGAGTGACGATGACGACAACAAGTTGTGTAGCATGACAGCGTGGTCCATTGCTGCTGGCCACTGGTGGTTGGGTAGCCGCAT